TAAAAAAGGGTGACAATAAATTTTCCACTACTCATACAAACACTGTCTTAATTGAGTGGCAGAATAATTTATGTTGATGCCATTGATAGCAAGAGCGCTAACAATTGAGGTGCAATGCTACACATTGTTTTGTAACGTGCATTATATTTCGATGTTTCTACCCATTTTTTTTGGGAAATAGACACTTCTCCTATTGCATAGAAGATATATATCCTCGCATCCAGCCCATTCAATTTAGATCAAGTGAGTCTCTAATCGTTTGATCTAGATATGATGTCTCAGAGTATTTTATTTTTAGTTTTTTTTATAAATTATATGAATATGAAACTTGGTACGCATCATCATCTCAACAGAATGCACCTAAAAAAAATATTAAAAAGAATTTTTCGATAAAATATAATAACCAAAATACCTCTTGAAAAATTCAAGGTTATTTTGATCATTTTATTTTATTGAGAATATTATTTTTTTATATTTTTACAGGTTTGAGTTTAAAAAATATTTTATAAAAAAATTAAAAAATAAAATAGTGTAGAGACATGATATTGTGATTAGAGTCGTCTCAACCGTCTATTTTGTTGGATAGGAGAAGCATAAAAATTTTATACAACAGGAGAAGCATAGAAAGCTTCCATCTTTTTAGCCATACATCATACTTGTCCTTCTCATCCATGTTCTTGATAATGAGGGAGCTGACAGTTTTACAAAGCTTTCATAGATTAGTTGCTGAAACCCGCCCAAGTTCCACATATTTATTCTTGATAATGAGGGAGGGCAGTTTTACATCATACTTGTCCTTTGGAAATCCAAGGTCCAACTCATTCTACTCCTATGCAATATCTACTCCCCATTGGCCATTATGATTGAAGAGTAAAATATTAAATAGAAAACAATTTTAGATTTTAAGAGTAAAATGTTTTGAACAAATTTCTTTTGCAGCATTGATTTTAGGGTGAGGCTTGTATGAGGTACCCATCTTATTTTGCACAAGTTAGGCTCACCTTTAAATTTTGTCATAAAGCATAGTTTTTATGTATTAGAAACTTTATGATGACTTGAAAATTTATGTTCAACTCTAATTATAAAATTTTAAATTTAAAAATGGTGCTGATCAAGTAGATTTGTAAACACTTGAAAATCTTGGAAATAGTTGGTCCAATGTCTAGATAACTTGTTAGGATGCACTATTTTTAATACTTAGAAAATATTTATTTTTCTTCTTATTTCTTTATATCCATGTTCAACTTTTTTTTTTTTTGGGGTAATTATCCATGTTCAACTCTTGATAGAGCAGACTGACACATCATGATTTATGTAGCCAACCCTAAATAGTTGGGGAAGGATGATCCACACATCTCAAGATTAAGGTGATCAATTAAAAGGCTTTTCAACTTTTGAATACTCTTTTTCTGTTGGAATTTTTGCACAAATTTCTTTTGCAGCAGTGATTTTAGGCTGAGGCTTGTATAAGGTACCCATCTTATATTGCACAAGTTAGGCGCACCTTTAAATTTTGTCATAAAGCATAGTTTTTATGTATCAGAAACTTTGTGATAACTTGAAAATTTATGTTCAACTCTAATTATAAAATTTAAAATTAAAAAATAGTGCTGATCAAGTAGATTTGTAAACACTTGAAAATCTTGGAAATAGTTGGTCCAATGTCTAGATAACTTGTTAGGATGCATTATTTTTAATACTTAAAAAATCTTTCTTTTTCTTCTTATTTCTTTATATCCATGTTCAACTTTTTTTTTTTTGGGGTAATTATCCATGTTCAACTCTTGATAGAGCAGATTGACACATCATGATTTATATAGCCAACTCTAAATAGTTGGGGAAGGGATGATCCATACATCTCAAGATCGAGGTGATCAATTAAAAGGCTTTTCAACTTTTGAATACTCTTTTTCTATTGGAATTTTTGTACAAATTTCTTTTGCAGCATTGATTTTAGGCTGAGGCTTATATAAGGTACCCATCTTATATTGCACAAGTTAGGTGCACCTTTAAATTTTGTCACAAAGTATAGTTTTTATGTATCATAAACTTTGTGATGACTTGAAAATTTATGTTCAACTCTAATTATAAAATTTAAAATTAAAAATGGTGCTGATCAAGTAGATCTATAAACACTTGAAAATCTTGGAAATAGTTGGTCCAATGTCTAGATAACTTGTTAGGATGCACTATTTTTAATACTTAGAAAATCATTTATTTTCTTCTTTTTTCTTTATATCCATATTCAACTTTTGTTTTTTGTTTTTTGGGGTAATTATCTATGTTCAACTCTTGATAGAGCAAACTGACACATCATGATTTATGTAGCCAACCCTAAATAGGTGGGGAAGGGATGATCCATACATCTCAAGATTGAGGTGATCAATTAAAAGGTTTTTCAACTTTGGAATACTCTTTTTCTATTGGAATTTTTGTTGTGCGCCTCATTTCAATAGTATAAAGTTGCAATTTTATATAAACTTTTTCATGCATTTTACTTATCCATTAATTCTTAGATGTGCACGATGCACTATTTATGAAGTTCACGAACATATGGATTTTACAAATAAATATATTTTCATTAAGTTAAGATGTGTTTCGTATCTTGAATCCACAAAAAAACTAGGGTAGGCTTAGTGTTCAAGAATCAATGATTTTGATTAGGAATCACCGCCCTGAATTAGGAACGGGCCTTGCAGAACCGGTTCGGGAAAAAAATAGGTATCGGCCCAATCCCCACTAAAACCCCCTTCATATTTTTTCTTCTTCTTATTCTTCTAGTTTATTTAATATGTTTTCTCAGCTCCTCCTAACTACCACCGGTACCCCTAATGTATATTTCGATTTTTTATTTTTAATAATTTTTTGAATCTTTAGATGGACAATCCAAGCCGCCACCAAAGTTGGCAACGGGCCATGCCTTGGCCCTAGTATTTATAGGATTGGTCTTGGCCAAATATAATCTAAAAACATAAATAGAAAAGGAATACAAAATTGTTTTTTGGGCGGAACTAGGCTGGCCCTATCGTAGCATAGGTCAAGCCCTGGCTCTACCCAGCCCTCGGGCTACGGTGGCCCTATCCTAGCTTAGCCCTAAGGTGCATTTTTTAGCCCAAGCCCTTAATTTTAAGGCCCAGTCCATATTTTCATGTAAACTTGGATTCCAGCTCATCTATCATTTGATCGGACAATAATTTCAAAAGTGTTTTATAAATATTTTTGAAAAAAATAAGACTTATGTGCTTTCGCTCTATTAATGAAAGTAACCAAATTTTTTTAAAAAAGAATAAAATAAAAATATATATCTATATATATAAATGGGAAAAGATGAGATTAGCCCACTAGTTCATATGAACATATGAACCCAATGTTCTAGATTGATTCTAAGCCGATTTGATGATCACGGATATCCAATAGTATTTGAATTTTAGTTTTTTTCTATAAATACAAATTAATTAAAATTTTAGGCATGTGTTTATAAAAAATAGGCGAATCTTCGAAAAATATCAAATAAATATTTTACATGAAATAATTTAACCAAAATACCCCCAAAAAATTTCGAGGGGTATTTTGATCATTTTTTTTTATGGATAATTTTTTTAATATTTTTATTAGGTGTGCCCTGATGATAAAAACACACACCTAAAATTTCAAATGATTTGGATATGTAGAAAAATAAATAAAATTTAGCACTACCGGACATTCGTGATCATCAAATCAACCCATATTCAATCTGAACCGTTGGGCTCATATGTTTATATGAGCTAGTTGGCTAATCCCATCTTTTTCTATATATATATATATATATATATATATATGGAAAAGTTTCTATAGAGCCAAGGCTCTAAACAATCAAATTCAAGCCTATCTCAAAATTTTCACTAGAAGTGATTGTTTTGATATCTAAATATCCTCAAATTGATCATCTCAACATCAAGATGCATGGACATGAGAAAAAAATAGGTTTCAAGTTTTGAAAATAGTGTATTTTGTAACGCACTTTTGGACCGTCAATTTCCAAGACTTTCAAGTTTCATAAATCTCTCGATCTACATTATTTTTGAAGCGTTAAACTTTATAAATAAAGATGAAAATATATTTTAAGGCTATCAAAAAGATTTTCAGCATTGAAATCACATTTTTTGATACTATTTGAAGGTAGGCTCTAATTTGATTGTT